GGAGGAGAGGGGGCGACGGGGCCGGGGCCAGAGCCCGGGCCCACGACGCTCCCCACACACACACAACGGGGGTGCACAGCCGATGCCAAGCCGCCCATACAACTTCGCGACGCAAGACGGGGCCGAGGAACCGGCCGACCGCGGCCTCAGGAAGAGCCCACACGCGGGCACCACAACGCCGGGTCCGGGAAGACCACCGACACTGCCACCAGGAAGGAAGAGGAGGAGGGGAGGCGAGGAGAGGGAGGAGGGAGGGAGGGGCAGGCAGCGGGACACACCAGCCGCCCCCCAGCGACCCGACCTCACCGACCTCAACCCCCGCGCACACGCGCCGCTCCGACAAGCCGACCCGCCGGCAGCCACGCCACCGGCCACCGCCGCCTGACGGGGCAGGGCGGCGCGACACACGGGAAGGAGCCCGAGCGCCTTCCCCGACGGCCGCAGCGGGACCCGGGGAGCGAAGCACCACAGGGTCACGGAGACCCGGGACCGGGACACGGATGAAGAGCGAGATTGGAGACGCACACAGCAGGCGCGGCAGCAGGAGCCGCCCCGGCCAGCGAGCGAGGCCTGACAAAACGGTGACAACTGGGAGCCGAGGGCCGGCGGACCCCCGCAAGCGCGGAGCGGGGGCACGGGAGAGGAGGGCCTCCTCGACACGGACGGACGGGACCGTCGAACCGGATGGCGGCCAGGCGGCACACCAGCCCCCCGCACCACGCGGGATCTCACCGCCAGCACCCTCCAGGCGCAAGGGCGGTCCCGCATGGGGGGAGGGGAGGCGCCAGGCACAGCCACACAGCCGGGGACACGCCACCGCGCGACTCGGCCACCCCTCACACGCACACACCGCCTCCGACGATGGGGGTGAACGCCAGGCCCTGCAGCACCACAGGCCACACCGTCGCAGCCATCTGACCCCCGACCCCAAAGAGGGCTCGCCGGCGCACGCAAGCGACACGAGGCCGCAGCGGGCCGCGAGGGGGCCACCTGCGGGGGCATGGCATCAGACCGCGGGGGGAGAGGCGCCAGAGGCGCGACGGGGAGCCGCGGGGAACACCTCGGGCCAACAAAAGCCGGGTCCTCCCGGAAAACGGACACGGGATGCCACCGCCACACGCCCGCGCGGTCCCGTGGCACGCCTGGGACGCCGGCAGCCCGCCTCCAGCGACCCCACGCGTTCCCCGACGCGCACCTGAGGCCCCCCACCGGGGCCCACAATGCGACACCGCCAACGCTCTCGACACCGGGCACCTACTGCCACCGGCTTCCTGGGGTCTCCATCCACCAACATCCGAGCCCCTGGCCCCGGGGGCCGCCACCCCGCGGGAACGCTCCCAAAGCCGATGCGGCCGAGGGGAGACCCAACGGGCCCAAACCCGTGGCCCCGCCGCCGCCACCCTCGCCGGCGGCGACCGGCCAGCGGGCCGCGGACAGCCCAGGGCGGGAAGCGAGCAGAGAGCCACCCCACGCCAGGGCCACAGGGGCAGCGCGGGACAAGCCACACGCAACCCCAGGGGCCCCGGGTGGTAAGCGGAAGGCCAGACAACACCAGAGGCATGCGAGCGACCGCAGGGCCCCTCCGTCGGGCCCGTAAGGCAACGGGACGCCCGGCCCTGGCCCAGCGGGACCCTCCCCCGACACGGGGGGGAGGCGCGGGCCACGGCAAGGTAGAGGCGCGAGAGGCAGCGTCCGGCCCCCAGCGGAAGGGGCCGGGAAGAACGAGCGACCATCGCCACCTAACGCACAACAACCCAAGCCATCCGCGTCGTCAGCAGCGTGGCTACCGACACGCACCAGGAAGAGGGAGGAACGGCGCGGCAAGCGGGGGATACGGCACCCCATCACGTAGGCACGTCCCTCTCGGATCGCTAGAGAAGGCTTTTCTCACCGAAGGCGAGCCGCACCCCGCCAGCCCCCACGTGCGCCTCTCACCGGGCACAAAGGGCCCCAACACCAAGGGAGCATCAACCCAACCCGGGGGACGAGCCCGAGGATGGGCGGAGGGGTCTGCGGCACAGGTAAGGAAGTCACCTGCCCCCCCACGGACGCGCAGGGGGCACCAGAGGCCGGCCGGGCGAGGCCACGGGCCGTGGCAGCAGCAGCCGGTGCTGCGCCCAACGCTTCCTTTTCCTCACCACCTCGACCCCCCAGAGGCTCCCGCACACCAGGCAGCACACACCAGCGAGGAGGCTGCAGCGGCACACCCGGGAGAGCGCACGCTGGGGTGGCAAGGGAGCGACACCACCACTCGGCTCCAGGCGCCTGAAAGGCAAACGACCCGGACCGCTCCAGGAGCACCGCACAGAGCCGAGCAGAGCCGGACTCTGCCGGACGAGCCCCACACCACCGCGGGAGGGGGCCCGCCCACGCCGTGACACGCCGGCACGGCAGAGGGCGAAGGGTGTCCGCCACGTCCGAGGACCCCCGCCCGGACCCCCACACCAGCGCACCTCCAGGCGGCACGAGGCAGAGGGAGCGGAGATCGAGCCGGGTTCCGCACCCCTGGCCTCTCCCACCACACCGAGGCAGGGGAAAGAGGAACCAGGAGCCCGCAAGACAGAACGAGAAGCTCGGCAGCATTCGCCATGAACGGCCGTCCCTCGTCTGTAAGCGGCTTAGGCCCGGCCCGGGAGAGCGCCACATCACCACATCGGTCAGTCGCGGTCTGGAATTGTGACATCACGCGAGGCACAGGGGGTCACGCCCGGCGAGGACAGCCGCCAGAGAGGGGGTCCGTCGCAGCCTCACCGGCCCCTTGCCTCCTCAGCGGCGGTGGCCAACCCCAGCGGAGGAACGCCTGACACGCACACGCGGCATGAAGCCGCTACTACCGGCTCAGTCTCAGGAAGGGGTCTCGTCAGCCACCGCTACACAACGGGCCGCCTGCGGCAGAGAGCGGACACGGGTATAGGACCCAGCGCCCGGCCTCACCCCCGCCGCTCTCGGGGCAAATCGTAAGCCGGAGATGGCAGCACCGTCGCAGGGCTCAACCGGGATCGCACACCGAAGCTGCCGCACGAACCCAGGCAGGCAGCTCGGCCGCCGGATGGGCAGGGGAGACGCAGTCCGACGCCAGGCCGCCGGCAGCCCGTCGCGCTCTCCCCCTGCCCCCCAGACGCGAACCCAGGGGCCCAGCTCTCCTGGCGACGGTCGCCAGGAGACAGCGTGTCAGCACCTACCTGCAGATCCAAAATGACAACTGCAGGCGTACAAATGCCCTTCCAGGGGACAACGGGGACAACCTATGCGACACAGCCACCCCCTCAGATGGGGGCCCGGGTCACAGGTCCCCAAAAACATACCCATCGACGACAGGGCGTGCTCCTGTGGCCACCTGGTCGACCCAAGGACTTAGAAAAGCAAACACACGCTCACAGTCCCACCAGCGGCCACGACCGGGTCCCCTCGTGCGGGCGACGAGTGTCGGGCCGGGAGCCCCGGGCCTCGCAGCCCCGTCAACGGCCCCGATCCGGTCCCCTCATGCGGGCGACGAGTGTCGGGCCCGGAGCCAGCCCCGTCGACGGCCCCGACCTGGTAGCCTAGTGCGGGCGACGAGTGTCGGGCCCGGGGTCCGGGGCCTCGCAGCCCCGACGACGGCCCCGACCTGGTGGCCTAGTGCGGGCGACGAGCGTCGGGCCCGGGGCCTCGCAGCCCCAACAATAGCCCCGACCTGGTGGCCTAGTGCGGGCGACGAGCGTCGGGCCCGGGGCCCGGGGCCTTGCAGCCCCGATGACGGCCACGACCGGGTCCCCTCGTGCGGGCGACGAGCGTCGGGCCCGGGGCCCGGGGCCTCGCAGCCCCGATGATGGCCACGACCGGGTCCCCTCGTGCGGGCGACGAGCGTCGGGCCCGGGGCCCGGGGCCTCGCAGCCCCGACGACGGCCCCGACCTGGTGACCTAGTGCGGGTGACGAGCGTCGGGCCCGGGGCCTGGGGCCCGGGGCCCGGGGCCTCGCAGCCCCGACGACGGCCCCGACCTGGTGACCTAGTGCGGGTGACGAGCGTCGGGCCCGGGGCCTGGGGCCCGGGGCCCGGGGCCTCGCAGCCCCGACAATAACCCCGACCTGGTGGCCTAGTGCGGGTGACGAGCGTCGGGTCGGGCCCGGGGCCCGGGGCCCGGGGCCCGGGGCCTCGCAGCCCCAATGACAGCCCCGACCCGGTTGGTGGCCTAGTGCGGGCGACGAGTGTCGGCCCCGGGGCCCGGGGCCTCGCAGCCCCGACAACGGCCCCGACCTGGTGGCCTAGTGTGGAGGCAGTGATAAAGGGAGTGCTGGTCGACCCCATGCACTCTAACGGTACTCCAGCAAGGTGACATTCAGGAGCGCGCAGACACCTAACCACCCCTGCAGCTGCCTGCCTGCTCACTTGCAAGCCTCCAGGCCCAATCTCCGAGCAGCACACGAGCCAGCCAGGTCCCAGCAGGGCTGGGACTCTCCCGCCTGCAGCTTGGGGACTTTGTCACACCCTGTCCCGGGCTCTCCACCCACTCGCTTCCCCTTGCCGGCTCCGGAGCACTCTACAGCTACAGCAAGGCTGCCTGCCACCAGGTGGAGTCAGACAGCCAGCACCAAGGAACAAAGGGACAGCACGCCGGATGCATACGGCCGGACAATGAATCCGAGAGAGGCAGGGAAATGTGTGTCATCTCCTCCCTCCCTCCCTCCCTCCCTCCCTCCCTCCCTCCCCTTGCAGGGGGTACCGGCTGGTCCCGGCCGCCAGGTCGCTTGCCTTGCCTTGCCTTGCCTCTCATTTATAACCAAACTGTGTTGTGACTGTTACTGGTGAAATGTGAACATTTTGTTTTGATTGGGGAGAATCGTGTTGGAGTAGTGAATGACCACGCATCTGCTGTGACAGCATAAATCTGACCTATCAGCACATTCTTGGGGGAAGGGGGGATACACTTGGTCACACACAGGTAAAGGGAAAAGGCAGCCAGAAAATAAAAAGGAACCACCAACATCGAGAGAGAAAAGGGAGGGAGGGAGGGAGGGAGGGAGAGAGAGAGAGAGAGAGAGAGAGAGAGAGAGAGAGAGAGAGAGAAAGAGAATGAGAACTGAAAGGAAGGCAAAAGTAAGAATCAAAAAAAAAAAAAAAAACAGGAACACAAAAACTAGGGAAGGAGAAAGACAACATAAAGGGAAGCAATGGAAGCAGTAGGGGAAACACACACACACACACACACACACACACACACAAAACAAACGGCCAGAAAGACACGAGTGAAAGAGATGAGGGAAGAAAATAAATCCAGAATGAGACCGCGAGAGAAAAGGCTCTAGGAAAAGGGAGAGAATGTAAAGATGAACAATGTCGAATAAAGGTGGGAGTCAGAAGTGAAATTCTTTGAGACGCAGGGGAGTGGGAGAAGGAGAGGGGACAGGTCAAAGGAGAAAGCGAAAGAAAGAGAGGAAAGCGGCGGTATTCAGCAATCAAAACAGAGAGAGGGGGAGTCTAAAAGGAAAGGAGAGATCCAAGAAGAAAGAAATAAGGAAACATCCCTAGGGAGGCAACAGATTCCCCCGCCTGGACGGAGCAAGAGAGCACCTAGAGAGACGCACACACAGTGCAGTCCCGGCCCGGTCGGTGGAAGGACGGTTTGTGCATTTGTGCAGCGCCGCGCGACCGACCGCCCGCCCGCCCCGCCCCCCCGCCGCCGCCGCCGCCGCCGCCGCCGCCGCCGCACGGGCCAGCAAGCCAGAAGCCCGACTGTGTTTACTGCGCCTGCGCTAAACCGACTGTTTCCCTCCCTCCCCCTCCCTCCTTTCCTCGACCCCCAAACTCCACGCCAACCGCCACCCCGAGGCCCCGCGAGACTTGAGACTAGTTTACATGCGGGCGCCATCTTGACCTCTGCCGTCAGCGCCATCTTGGCTTTCGCCTCATGTCCGATCCGATACTGTGGCCACTAGATGGCGCGCAGACCCCGCGATTCGATTCTTGAAACACGCTGGAGTTAGTTGGGGCTGCGATGGGGCGGGGAAGATGAAGGATGGGGGAGCAGGAAGAGCAAAGGCAAGAGATAACAACGACAACGCTGAGTCTCGAGCCCAGGGGTCAGTTCCAGATTCATCCCTTGGGCCATGTGTTTCCAGGCCCAGCTCTCCCGGGGAACCTCATCCGGTAATGAGACAGAGACAGAGAGAGATAGAGAGAGACAGAGAGAGAGAGAGAGAGAGAGAGAGAGAGACTGAGACTGCCTCACAAAAATCAGAAACCCAGTTCAGTCCATCTCAATGCTCCCAACCACGTTGGGACAGCAAAGACTTCCCTATACACACAGCTAAAACCCAGTCAGCGCCTCACCCCAAGTCCGTTCCCACAATATGTGCCAAGAGACCTTTCCTCCATCCTTGTCTCTCCCTGGATGGCCCTCCCTAGGCGGCATTGTCACAAAGTGTGGAAGGACTCTCTCCCTCCTGTGTCGCAGCAGCTGAGGCCAAGCTAGGCCGAAGCCAGGAGCCAGGAACAAGATGAAATCGGTGTTCCCATACGGCAAGGCCAGTGTGTCTGCTGACGGGCTGTTGAGCGTGTGTGCGGTGGTGCCACAATGCCAGTATCCCCCCCCCCAACTGTTTTACTTTCGCTTTCTGTTGTCGTCCCCCGCCCCCCCCCCCCCCCCCTTGAAGTTGACTTATTTTCATCGGGAAGGCAGATTTGCAGAGAGAAGGAGAGACAGACAGACAGAAAGATTTCCATCCGCCCGCCGGTGCACTCCCCAAATGGCCACAACCACGGCCGGAGCTGACTGGATCCGACCCAAATCCAGGAGCCGGGAGCTTCTTCCAGGCTCCCCACGCAGGTTCAGGGTCCCGTAACACTTGGGCCACCCCTTCACCGTTTTCCCAGGCCACAAACAGGGAGCCGGATCAGAAGTGGAGCCACAGGGACTTGAAAGTGGAGGAATACTGCCGCGCCCTTGTGTCTGTCTGTCCTTCCTGTGAGCTCTTGCAAGACCCAAGAAGTTCCTCCTCGGGGACAGAAAAGATGTGCCATGGAAACAGGTTAGAGACGTGAAAGAAGAGAGAGGAAAAGAGGGGGAGGGAGAGACAGATTGATTGAAATTGAGTTAGTGAGAATGTGACAACAATGAATAATAATTCAGTCTTCTCTGTTCGCCATTTGCAGGTAAGGTCCAGATGAGGAAAAGGAGAAAGGGAGCAGCCAGGCTGGGATTCCAGGGTCCAGAACACGGAGGGAGAGAGAAGTAGGTGTCAGGCAAGGCCACCTGCGAGGCCGAGGCCTTCGTGTCGGCGGCGGCGGCAGCGTATTATCTTTTAACTCCCAATCAACCACAGAGAACTCCTTAGGCATCCGGGAGCGCAGGAAGGGCACAGGCCGGCCCGTATGTCCTCCTGCTCTGCCGTCCTCAAGTCCCCTTGACTTGTCGGCAGAGCAGAGCCGACCGCACACAACACCCACCACTCGGGCACAGGCGCCCGGATCTCTCCCTCAGAGCGCCCTTTCCCTTTAGTTCCACAGGATGAGAAATGGTGAACCAACCGACCCCGCCCGCGACTCTTCCCCTCCACACCCTAGGATAGCGACTAAATCCTGGCCCTGCATCCACCGGGATCTCATATGGGGGCCTGTTCCTAACCCGGCTGCTGCTCCACCTCCCAAGCTCTTTGCTGGGGACCTGGGAGAGCAGTAGAGGACGGTCCAAGGCCTGGGACCCAGAAGAAGTTCCTGGTTTCAGATGAGCTCAGCTCTAGGGAGTGAAGCAACAGGCACAAGACCTTTCTCTCTGTATCTCGTTCTGGTAGGAAACAGCTGGGTCATCCTATCTGTGGCCCTCAGAAATGAAACTGTTGAGTTTATCTGGGCAATAAGATGCTGCGCCCTCTGCATGGTCCATAACCGCAATGAAGGAATCGTGACCGGAGATGATCTGTACCAGTGTGACAATGTGGAGGAATTCAATGCGGGGAGGAGAGGGTTTGGGAGAGTCCCAGAGCCTATGAAACTTTGTCAGGGAGAAAAAAAGATGCGAGCGCAGAGGAGAGCTGCCTTCCAAAACACACATACAAATAGCCAGGCCGGGTCGGGGCGCAAGCCAGGCTGGGTTGAACTGTTCACTGGCTAGCATCCCCCAGTTCACAGAAGGGCTGGTGGTGGACCAGGCCAGGCTAGGCTGCTGTACCCCAGCCCGATGGCGATAGCTGGGACTGTGAGGTTGGCCATCTCAGATTGTGCCACAGCACCCACTGGCTCACGCAGGAACGGGGGGGGGGGGGGGACGGAGGGACGGAGGAGACTGGGGGAGAGGGAGCGTGAGAGCCAGAATCGAGCTAGGGCGATGCACCCAGTCACGCAAAAGAAGAGATGGGTGCGTTGCAGGCGGGCCAGCCGGGTTAGGCCGCAACACCCAGCTGTCAGCAAAGTTCCGGGACTGACTGGGTGAAAATCACATCAGGCAGGCCAGACCGCAGTAGCCCCCAGACGGTCCCAAGACTGTCCTGCCTGCTAGGGAAACCACCGCAGGCAGGCAGGCGGGCAGGCAGGCAGGCAGGCAGGCACTCCCCCCTGTCAGCTAGGCTGTAGCTCCCGTCGGAGAGCACCACGTTAAGGCCTGCCTGGACTAAAACAGCAAGTTACCCATAGATCATCAGGCCGTCCGTATGTGCCAAACATACAAGGCCCGGGCCAGACATGTCGACAGCGTGCATCTCCCCGGACCAGACAAGAAGACGAGGGGAAGACAAGAGTTGTCTTTTGGGCCAGGCGTGCGGTTGCCTAGTGGCGAAATTTCTCGGCCTGTACGCGCCGGGATCCCCCAATGGTCGCCGGTTCATGTCCCAGATGC